TTTACTGAGAAAAATGGTGACGTGTTCAATACTTATTTTACCCGCTGTGTCACAAGAACAACCCCAGGTTTCTGGGCATTACTTAAATATTTTGTTCATGTCAAGTTTTGTTAAACATCTTAGATCTTCCCACCTTTTTAACATGAGGAATGTTGAGCTACAACATGTTCAAACCATATATTTAKCTTTTGGTTACCAAAAAAATGCAAAAAAGAACATCTTAATCCCTCTGCTGCATGTTCAGACTTTGACAAAGCCCTAAATGAGGAGCCATGAATGCTGCCAGGTTAAACTGATTTCATAAATAGAAATCTAAATGTTATTTGAAATTAACAATAAAATAAAATAAAATAGAAGACATTTGAGAAATACCTTATTAGGGTTGTTTTTCTCCACAACACCATCTCTGTCAGCATCCACATCCAGAGAGATTTCTGTGAGACAAACACTCCTTTCTTAAAAATTTTCTCTCAGATGAATTTTGCAGAAATTTACCTGCAGCTCCAGTTTAAAACAGAAACGGAAATTATTTGTTTTGTATGAAGTCGTGTTTTGCTTTTGTTCCAGGTGAAAAATGTTAATATTTTACACAAACCTTACTAGTTACAGTTTACATTTTAATACATGTCTAGTGTAAATGAACTTACCGATAGCTGTCAAGTACATAACTGCTCTCCCYAAGTCTTCTTGGTCCTTTCCGTAGTAGCGAACAGACAGCTTGTAAAATAGGACATGTTGTTAAATGGCTAATATTTCCTTAACAATATAAACAAAACTTGTGCTGTTGGGAGCTGAACTTTGAAACATTGTGAATTTTGTTGAGTTATGTTCAGTGTGACTAAATTCCTCCAGCTATTTTCAACAGTTATAACTTCAAATCAATTCTTGATTACAATACAAATGCAAAGACACAGCTATATTTCTTCCTATAACTTCAGGTTAAAAAATAGTTTCATGGAAAAAAAATAAAATTCACATAAAACTGAATCATCAACAGAATCAGTGAATTATTAATTTGGTGTGGCTGCTTGTTTCATGCCTCAGAAAGCACTAAAATCAAGGTGTGGTATCATGGTCCTGCCCTACATTTACCTTGCTATCATTTTCAGATTCGCTGGCCTGTTTCATGCTGAAGATCAGTACGGTGTTTCCACTGAGGGGGACAGGGGAGAGGTGGGAYGTCTCCCGTGGTGGGGGCTTGATCGTGTACTGAACGCTGGGAGTGCATTTCACAGAGAAGAACTTGGAGTTTGGTGGTGCAGTCCTGTAAAGCAGACAAAACAGCAGAGTTTTATACATATGAAGCCTTTGTGTTTTTCACAAGCTAGGAAAAAACAAACATTCAAATTAGATTTTAACTTGCAAAAAAGATAACGGAACATGAGAGAAACATACAGGTTACATCCAGATGTTCCTGTTCATTGTGAAGTTTTTGTCATAACTTTGAAATATATAAACCCCCCAAAAACCTTGATCTCATTCATGAGTTTCTGTGGTTATGGCATGTTAACAGTAAGGTCCACGTTTCATCAATGTTTAAATCTGAACACTAAAAGCCAAAGTATTATTTAGATTTTCAGTATCTTCATACTTCTGTGTGGACAGAACCACATCACAATGACAGAYGCAGTCGAGGAGCTTTATGATGGGGATAAAAATAACGTTTGAGTAAAGTTGACTCAACAACTGTAATACCCTACATCGAGGTAACTACACACTTTGTTATTGTAGTTTCTAAACTCCCAAACAGGTTAAACGAGGCCCAAGCTTTGCACCAGTGAGCTGGTCTGTAATCTAGTCCGCATCTGTTGTGCAGAGAGGGCTGGCGTTCTGCTGAATGCAGGCTTCTGAGGAAAAACAACGTCTTACTTGTTGACAGCAACAATGAAGGGTTATTGTGTTTCTGTACTGTACAAAATGCAAACAGGAGTTTTGCTCTCSAAGGCAAAACTCCCGTTTGTCACCACAATGAATTGCATAAAGGTCATCACACAAATGAACAGACTTCCTTTTTTTTTTTGTTGTGTCTGTGTGTAACTGTGTTGAAACATTATTGACTCATGTGACTATTTCAACAAAGCTTCAATAAATGTTGCATTAAAAAAATTGCAGACAAAATTGTTATGAAGTTGCTGATTCAGCTTTCCTTTCAAGTATCACTTCAAGAAACTGACTCACCAGCCACGCTGAGTCTCTAAAATAAATGTGGAAAAAAATATAAGTTTTCTGTCATTTCTGTGAATACAAAAAAGTGAGTCATTGGCAAAGTTCCAAAATGGTATGATGTTGCATTTAATGAAACAATTAAAGCACAGTTGGGTAACAACAATTAGGTGTAATTATGATATCAAAGTTTAAAAAATTGCTTTATATATAAAAAGGTACTCATTAAAATTATGAWATGGAAAATGTTATCATATATTAAATAGAATATTAAAAAATACTGTTATTGAGAAGGGTTCTGGGTCTTCATGACTTTGCAATGACTTCCTTTATGACAAAAAATATTTAAGTAGATGAAACTCATAAGAGAATGAAATAAAGCATTTTCCGAGGACAAAAGGGAGAAAATAAATTTCCCAGAACACAATGCGCACCCACTCAGGTAAGGGTTGTAAACAATGAATCATGACCCACCTGTTTAAGTTCACGGTCAGTTCCGAGCCCACCACGCAAACTACACTTATAGATTGATCATAATCTATTCTGAGAGTCCTCCGATGAGCCATGGCTGCAAGTGTCAAACCAAGTGTCCCGCTGCTGCTCAGTTAGATGTTGACAAAAGACACAAACCGGTCTAAGCTGAGAAAAACGAGCGTCCCTGAAGGTAGCAGGGACCGGCGAAGCGCTGCGCGGTGATTGGTCAGCCAGCAGTTAGCCCCTCCCTCTCCCCCGAGTATTATTATCGCTCATCTGTTTGCTTCCTTGTCCCTCCCTGTCAGAATCTAAAGTTCATAAAGACTATTGAATAGTTAATATTAACACAAGTCCCACTAATAATAACAGTTAATGTTGCTGCCGGGCTGCGCCTTTGCAATTTGTAGCTAAAAGGGGGGAAAAAAACTAAACAATTTATTGAATTCCCGAGGGGGGAAAAATGTGAAAATGCCATTTAACATTATTTCACCACTTTTTTTTTTGCGCAGTAGTCGAGTTCGTCCAAAAAACAAACTGATCTCTGTCGTCTCAGCTGAGCTTACCTGTTCAGGTTGGCCTTCAAAGAGGTGCCGACAACATGAAGGACACTTTGTCGGTGTTCTGGGTCCATGCGACATGTTCTCTGGTGGTCCCAACGCCCCTCACTTGGGAGTGAGATAGGGTACTTTGGTGATGCAGCTTCTTGAAACATGTGTGTTCGTGTCAGGTAGATGTTTGAGTGGCTTTTGTGTTCATGGGAAGTGTATCTAATGTAAGAAAGGAGGGACCAAAGAGTAAAAAAAAAAAAAAGCATGCTTAGAATAGATATTAGTCAAGGCCTAAAGGTATGTCTTCTGATTGGTTTGGATTAAGACTTCTCGTCACCATAAAGGCATGCCCCGTCCTGCAAATCTGCTTCTTTCAAGGTAGTTTGCAGTTGAGTTATCCCTTGTATCAATACAATAAAACAAACTTTATACAGGCTGGTATCAAATCATCTAAAGCAAAGACAAAAACAAACAACAAAATCAACACTGCACAGGTCTAAATCTCCCCAAAATTACTAATTAGACTGAGTTTAAATGTCAAGACCGGTCAAAAATAATAAATGCACACATATGAAATTTCCCTTTGAGATTAAAAAGGTATTTTTGAATTTAATTGAACTTAGAAGCGCATTTTTTTTAAAGTTTGTCTTCTTTATTACAAATACAAATTAAAATAAACAATCAGCACAAACACGAACAATATGTTCTACAAAGAACATGTAGCAAATGGAAATTAGAGAAGGCACATTCTGATTACTGTCTTTTGGGTCAATTAAAAGTAAATATTGAAGATGCAGCCATGTGATTTTTGCCTGCCTATTTTTTAGTTAACTTTAAAGCAAACCCTAAAGCATTAAAGTAATTGTGAAGCACATCAAACTCTTTATATTTCGCTGGAAAACACTTTCCACAGCTATAAATATTAGCTTTATCTTCAAATAACTCTGAAACAAGTATTATACTTCTATATCAATCCAATAAGCTTTGCATGAAGTGAGACACAGTTAGAAAAGAMCACACAATCGTGTTTAAGAAACCCGTCCAATCAAATCGTTTAATTATTTTGACAAGCGTAAGCTTTGACCAATAGAAACTCTGTAAACATTCCACAATGGGGCGGGACCAATGGTATCCTATGTCATTAAATCACTGCGCTTTGTTTTTCTTTTGGGGCACAAKACGGAGAGGATTATTGAATATTTAGCGTTAATAGCCCAGGTTAAGTTTACCCTAACGTTACGTTTGCTTTAGCGTAACCACAGCCCTTCATCTTGTGTGGTTTGGCTCATATTGTCTTCGGAAAACTGGTTTGTTTGTGGGGTCAAAGACGGAGAGGGTGTCCTTACTGGAGCAAGGAGGAATTCCAGGCGCTGGGAAAGAACGGGAAGAAATCTCTGCTAGGATGTTTCACGCCAAGTTGGAAAACATTAGATAATATGATTTATATCCACTACGAGTCGCCTTAAACCTGAATTATGTGTTTAATATTCTGATATTTATTACCGGGAATACTTTAGTGGCTTTGTGGCAGTTTAAAGTCTCAGTTTTAGCCTTGAATTAGCCACGTAGCTCGCTGCCTCCCTTTAGCAGCAAGGCATTTAAAATGGCGGAAGGTTGGCCCATTCCTTCGGCTCTTGTTGTCGTGCTGCTGAGTTTCAGTGCCTGGGCCACCGACTSTTGTCCGGCTTCGTGTTCCTGTCCGAAAGGACAAGACGAGGTCCACATTCTGGACTGCAACAGGAGGAGGCTGTCGAGTGCTCCCCTGGACCCCCCAGAGGGGATAACCCAAGTGTGAGTACCCGGTTTGTCCGGATGCAAGTCCCCTGCACTGATTTATTGAACAGCTCGAAAAATACAACCACAATTTAATACATATAGACTTTAGTTCCGTTTGTTTAAATTGAATGCTAATTCAGTTTATTAAACGATCATTTTTGCCTCCAGGTGCACAAAATAAAAGACGTTTTAGGTGTTTATTATAAGCCTATAATTTATTGTAAGATTGCACATCACCCGCCTTATGCCGGACTTTCAAACCCAAAATATATTTGATTAAAAATAATAGAGTTATGGTCCTTTTGGATAAACCTTGAACAAGGGGCAGATATTTATAAGATTTATTCTTCTGCTTCCTTTCATTTCCATTTTTTTATTTTTTATTTGTGTATTTTCGTTTTCTATTGTGTATATAGTTATTTTTAGCTCAATCTGTTAAATTGGTTGGGTTATATTAGTTTTTATGTTGACTAATGTCAATTATCAGCGTTGGTCATCGACTTCAAAAGATTAATGAGTTGTAGATGTTAGGGTTGGGCGATATTGGCAAAAAAAATAATCACGATTAATTGTGGTATTTAGTCGATAACGATTAATTTGACGATTAATCCCCTGGAGTCCCTGGACACCCTTATGTCCTGGTCACATGACCAATTTACTGGGAAAGATTTGCTCTTCAGAAAAATCTGTTCCAAACTGTGTCAAAATCACAGACTTCAGGCTGTACATCTAATTTTAAATTGTGTTAATAGATAAATAAATGACAGAACTTTATTTTAATGTTTGTCATATTTGAAGCAGAGAGGAGCAGTGAGCRGACTCTGCCTGGTGGCATTAATCGTATTAATCGTCAAGTGCCAAAAAGTAATCGATTAATGTTTTTCTGACKATTAATTGCACACGATACGATTATGCCCAACCCTAGTAGATGTACATCCGGGGATGATTTCCTGAAAGTGTCCCTCCAGTTGTTGATATTGATATTTTGCTAACAGACAGTGTTGACTCCAAATAGTTGATGGCAAAAGTTTTTAACAACACTGACTGAGTGTTAAGTCTCAGAACATGCGTTTAGGATGACTCTCCTCTACTACTACAACAAATTTTGTGTAAAAAATATTTCAAATTGACTCCATTTTTGAAAGGATGAATCTAGAAAGTAAACACTTGTAAGCTGATTCAACTGCATTAAAATTTGTCCAATATTTCACAAGATGTTTTGGTAACAGACAGGCACCTTGATGGGCAAACATGTTGTCTTTGCATGTCGGCGGTGGGCAATAAATATAGAGGCTATATTTGACATTTATTTGTTTTGAATCCCATGTAAACTATTATCCAGTTGTGAACATCAAATGCATGTTTGGAAATTGTTTTGGCTTACAAAGAAGGCAATTTGTTTTTATGATTATGTTGTAAAGTTTACTGCAGTATGTACATAACAATAATGATCTGATTGATTTTCATTTCAGCACGATGAATCACAATGAGCTGGCTGTTTTTCCCTTTCTTGGAACCGTTTCCTCCAACATAACCTCGCTTTCATTGTAAGAAACAAACTCTCATCATGTTTTCTTTTCCTTCGTTGTGACATCCTAAACAAATGCTTTATTTATTTTTCAGCATGGCTTCTATAAAACCCTTTTAAGGCAGATTGTTGATCGCTTGAAGTTCCGATGAAACAAAATAATTGAATATGTGCAGTTTGTTTTCATAGCTCAAACTCTAAATGACTAGTGCTTCAAACCACTTMTGAAAATAAAGTCTGTTTTCTAGAAGTAAATTATTTAAAAATCAATGGGCCTCATGCAGGAACATGTTCGTATTTTTATCCTAAATTTCTCTTACTTTTGTTCGTACAAAGGGTTCGTACGAACATGTCACGTCAGATTCAACAAACACTTCTATCTTCAGGAAAAGTGTGTAAA